TATTGTATGAGATGTTCAAATACCCGGACACTAATAAACTGAACATACAGTGCGACGCTATACTGTGTCGGGGCGGCTGTCAGGAGCCGGTGTGCGACTCACCCGGTTATAAGGGTAGGGATTTGGCTCTCGATGGCTATTCACAACTATCGGCCTCCACCTCGATGTTTGTTTTTGAGCCAACAGATGATTCACGTGAGTAAAACTCAATTTAATTTATAACATAATATTTATTCAACTAGGGCCAAATTTTTAACGTAAACCCATTGACAAATCTTTTTATTTAGTTACCCACGAAAATCTGTCCGAGTGTACTGAATGGAGATTCCCATGGTTAATTAACCTGTGCATAGTGTTGGCCGTGTTATTACTATTAATGTTATTGTTGAACATGTTCATGTGCTCATCGCTCAGTTGCCGGTGTATTAAAACTGAGGTAAAGTTTTAATTTAATTTAAAAGTTACTAAATAAACATTTTATAATTACATATAATATACATTAGATCTTAACTCTTACTCTTTAGTATAATAGAAATCTAGTTAGCTCATATAAATATTTTTAACAAATCTACATTAACATTAGAGTTTAAATGACTATTGTATACAAAATAGTGTACTAAAACTAAATAGTTTTAAATATTAATTTAGGTTCTGACAGCATTAATGGTATTATTAAATGTGTTTATATGCTCAGCTGTCGATATATTATATTTGATAAAATAAAATATTTGAATATAATTTATTTTAATTTAACTTGCAAATTAAAAATACAATAATGTAATACTACAGTATATAGTAATTCATGGTTTGTAATACACCAATTTAATTAAAAATACTCTTGTGAAGATATTTTAGTATAAGTTTACATTAACGTTACAGTTATCACACTTAAGTTTGATTACATTGTTTTAAATATGATTAATTTCAAATGTGATTATATTATTTCCCCTAGATCGTCGAACAAGAACCAGACGAGACAGTAGACGATTACGACCCATACCGGGCTGACTGGACGGCCCCGAACTCCCGGTACGGGTCACGCAATTCACTAAACAAAGGCTATCCCGAGGGGACACTCAAGTCAAACAAATCACAGCCAAAGTCGTATCACTTGGGCTACGATAACGATGACTACGTTCCCGACCAACACAACCGGTCATACTCTACATTACAGACCCGTTCGCCCCGACCCCGATCGCCGGGTCCGCCCCTCTCAACCTACTCGACCCACT